CACAACATTGGCGAAAGAAGTAAAATCATCTGGAGAAATGTACTGTACTTCCACTGGCATGTACCCAGAGGTAAAAAGCAAGAAAACATTTTCTCCAGCTTTCAAGACAAGAAGAAAACAAAAGGGGTCGCAAGATCTGAACCTGCTCTTTCTGACAAGCAGCCCAAAATCAAAAGTTTAGGGTTTCCACCAAAAAAAAACTAAGTTTAGGGAAAAAAAAAAGCTTTCTTCCAAACCTCCAAAAAGAACATTTATTCTCTCGCAAAAAAAAAAAACATTGACTGTGCTCTTTGGAAAAGGGTCGCCTTTGACCACCCAAAAAATACAGAGATCGGGGGGAAATCCATGGGGGTTATCTTTGGTCCTCTGGGAACAGCATTGGCGAAAGAAGTGAAATGATCTGGAAATCGCAGAACAAATCGAAGGCTGGGAGCTTGGGACGGCCTGATCAGGTCCCCAGGCAGCAAGAACAATCGAAAACTCGCTCAGAATAAGGGCCGCAGAGCGAGAAATCTGCACCTACTGCGACGCACAAGAACAACCGCGAGACCAGAATAGCAAAGCGACAGGATAAGCGCAGTACCAAATATTGGGCCTTCCTTGCACACCGGATGGGGGTTCCGCGGGGTGGGGGTGGGGGATGGGGGAGAAGAAAAGGAGACAGGACTCGGGGGAGACTGGACGAGCAAGGAGGCGGTGATTTTGGTACTGGGTGCAGTACCTCGTCACCCTGTTCACAGGTTTGTCGCTTCTTTCGGGTGTGAATGTGTGGTGTGTAGTGGCTTGCTTTCTCACCGAGCGATGGAGGTGTGATTTTTTTTAAGTACAGTGTGTACAGATTTTCCAAAGGGAAACGTTTAACAACGGCGGACCGGCCGAGTCTTCGGCCGGACGCGCACGCTGCGTCGGATCGCCACAGATCCTACGGCGCTGGTTCTTCCCTCCTACTGTCCCAATCACATGTTTTTGTGGACCCATAGCACTGCTGCCTTATCTCTTCTTCTTCCTGAAACTCCATCTTGCTCTCCAGCCACACACGGAATCCCGCGTGCTCCCAATCCATGGCTCCACGCCCGCAAGCCTGCCGGTACCACCACACGACCGTCTTCTCTTTTACTCCACTCCATGAACAGCACACGACGGCTGAGAAAAATGTTGCAGCCACAGCCAGCCACCGGGGTGTTGGGAACGACGGCGCGACAGTGACCCGTGGTGAGCGTGGAGTCGGCAAGCGAACGGGGGCCAGCGTCGGCCTCTCCCTCGACACGGCCGCACCCGATTTTGGCAGCAAGGGGCGGCCGGGGGCGACGACACCATGCCCTCTTATGTGCTGCAAATCCATGCCGTGAGCTACCGTCCGGATGATGGGACCGGAAATTTTAGATGCTACATCCGACCACGAGGGTTGCTGGAAGCGACGGGGGAGATGCTGGAACAATGTCGCCGGAAGCTGCATACGTTGCCTCGGGGAAGCTAGAAGCACTGTCGCCAAAAGTTACAACCGTCGGTAAGAACTGCTGGAACTAGCAGGTAAAGAAGCTGGAACTGACCACTACGGGAGTTGCATTCACAGGCAATGGTGCGACGGCGACGACCTTTTTACTGCAACCGTCGTCCGCTTTTGCTACTACCGGCGAGGAAATTTGGTACATCCTTCATGGCGGAGCTGCATGATGCTACGACCGGCACACAATTTTTTGCTTCATGGCGGAGCTACAACCATGCGATGCGGATGCTGGAACCGTTGCCTACAATAGCTGGAACCGATGGTCTTTTTTGCTTCAACCAAATGAAGCAGTTCTGAGATGAAGACGGGCGCGCTACCACGGTGAGCTGCAAGCCTGCAACCGGCACCAACAAAAGCTACATCCGGCCTTTTATTTTGCTACCATGGTTATAATCGGGGAAGTAGCGACCCAAGGAGATGACGGTGATGGGGCAACAGACGGGCGCTAGAGAGCGTTGTCGGCGAGGATGACAGAGCGGTGCAACCTAGTGCTGCAATCATGGGGCCGTGCGCTGCAAATCGTGCCGGCCAGAGCAGCGATGCATCCATGGACATGAGATGCAAGACATGCGTCCATGGCGAGGGACATGAGCACGCCAGCGAGCTGCAGCCGTCGCCACCGGAGTTGTGACCGCAGTCCGCAGCTGCATGCGTGGAGTCAGCGTCAAGTACAGGCGGCGACCAGCGGCGAGTGCGGCGCTCGGCGGCGAGCGCGACGACCGGCGACAAGGATATCCGGCGAGGGCGGCGACCGGCAACGAGGACGTCCGGAGGGCGGCGACCGGTGAAGAGGACAGCCGGCGAGGTGCGGCAACTGGGTTGCGCGTGACCCGGCAAGACGAAGGGGAGCGATGAGAGGCAGGGGTCTTTTTTTCGTACGCGCTCATGAGGAACAGAGGAAGACGATCGCATGGATCGTATGACTGCGGATGACTTAATCAGACGGTTCACAGTGGACCGGCCGAATTATTAGGCCGGCGCGCCGGCGCGTATGAGTCGCCTTTTCCAAAGCCCAAGCTTTGTAAAGTTTGGCTAATCTATAGAGAAAACATTTAGATCAACTTCAACGCGACCCGCGTCCGTTTGAATCGCCGCAGACAAAAATGACGATTCAAAATGCTGACCCATTTTCAAATCGCGTCCAACAGATGTATTTCAGGCCCAGACGCAAAGCAGACGCGCCGCACGTCCTCTCAGTGTCCGCCGCGTCCTCACCTGACGGTTGGCCAACTACTACAGCGTGCGGGATGGGCATGTCCTCATCCTCTTCTCCCCCGTGCCCATCTAGCCACCCTCTGCTCCCCCATCGGCGACAACCCTAGCCACCCTAGCCACCTATGGGGTTCTTCTCCGGCAAGAACAAGGGCAAGACCCCCGTCGCCCCTGCGCGCGCGCTCCCCCCGCCTCCATCGGCGTCTTCCCGCCAGCCACAACAGCGCATCAACGTCCCAGTGCACTAGGCGAAGTGGCACTGGAAGCACCGTGTCCCCCTCCCCTACCCCGACGTCACGCTGCCACACGACTGGCACTTCGATCCCGGGAGGATCCCTGTGCCGGTGGGGCCACGGTCGGGAGCGGGCTCACGTGAAGGAGGTGCGATGCCAACGGCAACAACTCACTTCTGAGCAGCGCCTCAACCCGGCCTACGCGGCAGACTCTCCCGAGTGGGAGGTCTTGTTCGCATTGGAGCATGAGAACCACGCCGCCCCTCCTCGTGCGCCACGAGGACTAGGAGGCGGAGGTTGCCTACCAGCCGGCGTTGGCGGCTGTCCTCCGTGAAAGCGAGGAGGATGAGCGGCGCAAGAAGGAGGAGGGGAAGGAGGCGTACCAGGTGTGGCGGCGGAGGCCATGGCACTCCCTGTTGCCGGCGACTGTGTCGTCCCGCCGCTGGCCCCACCGTCCCCCGAGTCGGCACCGACCCCCGTCGTCATGCCCGAGCGCTATACTTGGGATGGGTACGTACGCGAGTGGGTCAGTGCGTCGGCCGTCTGGTTTGGGGTGACGCCAGACCAAGAGCAGATGTACCTGGAACAATGGCGGCAGCGCAGACTCGCGGAGGAGCGTGTCACGCCTAATATGCGACCCTATCCAAAAGGAACTCGAAGGTCCCACCAAGGATAGACCCGCATATTGGAACGCTTTTGCAAGGTGGATATCATTACATCAACATTACATAATAGATGGGGATACATACAAGAGGCATACAATGCCACACGAATACAACATCACATCAATACATGAGAACAACATCCGACTACGGATGAAACACAAACAAAAACTTGAACGACATCCACCCTGCTAGCCCAGGCTGCCGACCTGGAACCTATCCCCTGATCGAAGAAGCAGAAGAACTCAATGCAAGCAAGCATCGCTCTCGCGTCATGATCATCGCAACCTGTACCTGCAACTGTTGTTGTAGTAATCTGTGAGCCACGAGGACTCAGCAATCCCATTAGCATGGGTATCAAGACTAGCAAAGCTTAATGGGAAAGGAAGGGGTAAAGTGGTGAGGTTGCAGCAGCGACTAAGCATGATATGGTGGCTAACATACG